CTACATTTAATGTGAGAACAAAGCCAAGGAGGGAAATGGATTCTGAGCATCTTCAGCGATTCTGGTCTCTATCTGGACCACCAAGACCCAGCAGGTTACAGAGTTCTGTGGTTCCGGTTCCTCCCATGTGGAGTAGACGCGGGCCTGGACTAGAATTCTGGAATGTCCTGGGGTTCTGGAGCGGCCCGTCCTCACCTGCTGCTTCTGGTTGCGGGTCAGGAGCGTCTCCAGGTGGGCCAACGTCTCCTGGACCACCTGCTGGTAGACCAGGTTCAGCTGGAGACACGAGTCCACAGACGGAGACAGGTCCAGCTCGCTCTGTGGACAGAACACACCAGTCACACCAGAACCAGAACCCTGCCACCGGGTCCTGACCGGTACCGACCTCGTCGCTGGAGCTGCTGCCGTCACTGCCAGAGCCGCTCATCGGACCCAGCATGTCCTCCAGGTTCTGGATTTCCGTCTGGATCTTCTCTCTCTGGGCCAGCAGGTGCACTGGACTCTGGACACACAGACCTGTCAGGTTCTGTCCCGTACCGGACCGCCAACAGGATGTTCTGGGTGTTCTGTCTCACCTGTCCCACCTGGTTCTCCTCGTCCTCCCCGTCTGATTCACCATCTAAGCAGAGAGAGAGAGAGGCGGAGTCAGAGACGCAGAACCGTTTCCTTCCTGTTCATCAGCGAGTCTGATGGGGGGTCCGATGGATCAGGACCCAGCTGGTACCGGTCTCACTGCTCAGCAGGTCCAGCTCCTCCTGGGTCACGGCCAGGCGCCGCTCCAGCGCCTCCACCTGCCTCTGGATGCGGTCCCTCTGGGCCGACAGGTTCTCCGCCATTTCTGGAAGACAGAGACAGTCGGGTCAGAGAGGCCTGCCTGGTTCTGGTTCTACTGCAGGTCTAGTCTGAATAGATCTACCTGGTTCTGTTCCACCCCCTCTGAGGCCAGAACCAGAACCTTAAAGACCCTTTCATCCAAGATCCTGGTTTCTGTTTCTGGATCAAGATGTGAGGCGGTTCTGCTCGGCTTTGTTTGGCCCAGATGGGATGGTGACCCATTCCTCCGCTGTTCTATGTGGTTCTGTTCTATGTGGTTCTGTTCTATGTGGTTCTGTTTCTATGTGGTTCTGTTCTATGTGGTTCTGTTCTATGTGGTTCTGTTTCTATGTGGTTCTGTTTCTATGTGGTTCTGTTCTATGTGGTTCTGTTTCTATGTGGTTCTGTTTCTATGTGGTTCTGTTTCTATGTGGTTCTGTTCTATATGGTTCTGTTCTATGTGGTTCTGTTTCTATGTGGTTCTGTTTCTATGTGGTTCTGTTTC